GCAGACCAAAGGATGCAACAAGCAAAGAAGACAAACTGAATATCATTTACAAAATCAACTGCAATAAATGTAGCCGCCCTCTTCGCCTTCGTCCTAATGAGCACCAATTGGCTATTAAACGCCACGACATTTCCTCACTCATTTCAATGCACATGGTTAATTATGGACATGAATTCAACTTGGACAACGTAGAAACTTTGGACAGAGGAAACACAAAGAATGTCAGAGAATTCCTAGAAGCTTGGCATTCAGGTCAGTCAGCAATCAACAGATGTATAGACATAGACCCAATCCATCAACCAATAAGAAAAATGATAAACGACAGAAAGGTCAGAAGTCAAGCAGAGGAACAGCCAACAGGAAAGTCTATGCAATCAATAATACAACAATCGAGGGAAACAACCAATCACAGACTACATCGTCAGAGCGAGCCACTAAATCACTCATGGAGAGATATTGACAGCTCACTTCATACTGAAGTTAGTGCTGATGATGTCGTCTAGCAAGAGGATGAAGGCTTCACGATTAAACAACCCAGCTCAGAGAACACAATACAACCAAGACGATCCACCTGATCTACAAATATTCTCCATTATTTCAGCACCACTCTCTGCTGCTGTTCACACTTCCTTTTATCTACATGCTTCTCAAATTCCACAAGAGATGGTGACTATCTGAATATTTCATTGAGAGTGGGACTCAGTTGTAGATGACCAAAGTGTTGCTGGGGGTCAGTAGAACTACTCCTCGGAGATGTCCACCTAATGTAGTAATCTTTTCAACAAATGCATCAGAGTCATTTTACAATTCTGTCTCACTAACCATTGACCTCTTCATCCCAGTTTTTGCATTAGGTCTGAACGACTGTCTACTATCGTCCATCACCGCTGCCTTAAATACCTCTCTAAAAATTTCTGCTAACTACTTCTAGAGTCTTTTCCATTTGGCTTGCTTTCGCTTCTTTTTGTTCTCGCAGTCTTTAGGAGTACGCCGAAGCGAATGTTATTTTAGAAAAACTGCTGAAATCTGTTGACCCTAACTTTTTCTTAAGGTCAGTTATGTTTTTTAATGCTGTTTTTACAGCAGAATGATGGGCCCGGGATTATTCTAGATGAGTGACGTTATTCTGTTTCAATAACTGTCTATTCATTTACTCATCGAAAGCAACATTAGTATACTTATCATCGACTTAGTTGAGGAACACTTTCAGATTGAGCCTGTATTGTGTTTCGATACAGAAATATCCCTGCTCGAACTACTAAATGACCACAGTCCGAACCCGACACTAACATAAGGCAAAGAGTCAACTATTCATGCCAAGATATTTTTCATCATAGAGTAAAAGCGTGAAAAAGACCAAAAATCAATGGGCAATAGCAAATATTTCAAACTTTGCATCAGTGTACATGTTCAGCCTTGAAATAGGGTTGAACTCGGAAATTCTATTTGCGTCGAGTAGTAAATTACAAGTCAATCAATGGATCCATTTATTACGAAAACTCTATATGTGTATCTATAAATTCTAAGGGAAACAGGGGAAATCGCACAAATGATAAAAAGCCTATGAACTTAGTCCTCTTATCTTAAAAAAACTGAAAACAGCAGAGGTTACATTAAACGCTGATAGCTCCGAACAACTTAAGCACATGGGACCTCAGAGAAGCGAAATCACTGATAAATAAAACACGATATTTTTATAGTCTTTGAGAATACAAGTCCCGATATGAAGGCAACTGCCAAGCCCTAAAACAGCTTTTTGTTTTCTCGGATGGCAAAACTATACAAAACTGTAACCGGGGTTATACCTAGTAGACGTAAACTCCTGGCAATGTTTGTTTGAATTGGCTGTGTTTTAGTTCAGCTTGTTGGTTAATTGCATTCCCCGTAAATCCTACTTTTGATTAAGAATGCTATACTCTATCCACCATATTGTTTCTAGGACTGATTCTTTTTTAAGAAAAAATTCATCATTGTATTACCGCTTATCACTGAAGACGTTTACCAATATTATTAAACATAATGATCTGTGGGAGTGGTTTAGGCAGCCAATAAACGTAAGAAATAGCAAAGGAAATAAGTCTGCATTGCTTATAAACAGTGAACCCACATTTCCTAGTGAATCATCTAGAAAGTTCTGAACATAACGAAGATTAATCTCTGAGGGTTTCCCTTGACGTCAAACGAGATCAATCTGTACCTAGGAAATCTTACTGTATAACCGACCTTCCAACGAAAACTCTTCTAATAACATGGCGATAGGAAACTATTGAGTAAACAAGCCTATTCTATCGTCTAAGCTTTAAACTTTATTGCTTTGTCCCATATTTTATTACGAAAACGTGCAGATATTTTGTCTCACACATTAGTGAACACTTTTGTTAACCATTATTCAGAACTACAGTGCCATCTGGAAGAAAACTAATGGAGTTCGACGACAACTTACGTTTCCTTCGAAGAATATAAGATTCATAGCAATAGCACTTACTTCTCCATTCGAAAGCAACTAAAAATTATATTCGTCTACACGTGACTCCTCACTGTTCGTTTATAACGACGGGAATCAGTTTGTTTGTAAAAGGGCGAGGACTTTCGCAGCTGCCTTTGTTTTATACCATAAAACTGTTTAGTCTAAACAAATGTCTCAAATAATTTCAATATATCTTCTTAGACCAAGCTTCTGATTCCAAATCTCTCTTATTTAACCAACTTGTCATGAATTTCGAGTCTCTGATTACAAAATGATTCTATTTGTATTGTTCTGGAAGGAAGCAGTGCAGTGTACATAAAGAGAAGCGCTGCACTTTTCTTTCCCATGCGATTGGTTGCATTTTGGTGAAACCAATTTCGTTAGATTTTGTTGATATCCTTACCGGTCACCTTATCAAACTGTTACCAAGTAAACGACTTCATAGTTAAAATTGAAGAATGACCTTTTATCGCCTGAAATTTAATTTATCAACGACAAACCTGTCCCATGACTTCTGTCACTTCGATGATTTTGCTGTTAAGAGTGTTCCAAATGTTATTTATCTAGCTACAAGATTTTCATCTTATTGTTAAGCCGTTCAATCATCGACTTCTAATTATTTCCATTTGAATCAGTAAATAAAGAAAATGCGTATTTCTGGTATGAACCAATCATAACTTTTGGGATTTTCAAATGCATGTACTTTTTTCTATTTTCTTTCTTAATTTAATGCATAGAAATTTCCAGGCTATTAGTAAGCTTAGCTACGCGACTTTATGATCATTTCAATTTATGCAAACAATTGGCTGATTGTTGTATTGCATCTTATCCTAAGTATCTAATTTATTCATAACTTTTTTACACTAGGGAGGAAACAATTATCGACCATGTGATAAAATGCTTTATCCTCACATCATTAAATTAACTGTTACTTTCATCTTAGCATTTCTCTTCATGATCAACCTAAGAAAAAGAGATTATGATTTTTTATTGTCGTCAATAGATTTCGAAAGAGTAGACGCGATAATCATTTAGTATCAACAGTAAAAAAGTGTTTCAATAGTCCATCTTCGAAAAATTGATGCCTAGTCAAACTATTTCATTTTAAACTACTCCGCTGAATCGAAACGTACAGCATTGTTGGACAAGTGAATAAGTTTATTAGTTTGAGGATTGTTATGCATCTAGGCACAGATGTTCACCAGCTTATTAAGCAAATCAGTAATTAAACTGAACTAGAACCCTTTATTTTTTCTGATTGTACATTCTTTTTTACATACCTAAGTCAGAATATTTTGTGCTTACCACTAAAGATGACTGCCTCGTTAGATTACGATAAGAAACCTGGTTTAAAATATAAAATATAACTAGTTTGAATATCATTCAGGTCCTATTATAGACAGGGAAAGTCAATGAAGGCATCTACTTCAATTAAATGTACATTAGCCAGCCAGTTCCTGGAACAGTTTTTGAACTGTCAGACTGCCATGTCAGACAGCAACACTATGGATTTCAAGATGCTGTTCATACAGTTTAGTAGAGACAACTAAATTATTTGAACGATAGATCACAGTAAACGAAATCATCTATGCCGAAATCCTCCAGTGATAATGAAGATAAGTAAAGTGGTGAGTCTTCATTACAACGAAAATTACTAATTCCGAATAAAACATGAAGCTAACACTAATCGATTTCAAGAATCAGAGAGCGCTCTGATCACTTAATGTAACGCAGTATATGAGATCAATATCACGGCTATTGACTGGTGCCTGTGAGTAACATGTCTCTTTGCAATAACGCCAGTTGCTCATCAAATTTAATACATTAATTTACTCAGACATATTTGGCTTAGACCCCGTAATGTACATACTTTTGACTGCTGCAGGATAAGAACATCACTTCGTTAGCATTGACAATATGCTTTTTCTCAAGACTCAAGTCTGCTTGAATGACTTTACCTAAGAAGAAGCCGAGTGATCCGATAGGCTTATAACACGCGCTTACAAATGGTGTCAGTTGTTACTAACAATAAACAGAGTTCAATCACAGCAGAGACTAAACTAATATAAACTATAGTGTCATTCTGGGTTACATATATGGAAAAGTGCAGACGAATAAATGCGTTTTCAAAAACATACTGAAACTAACGTGAATTTACTTTTTACTTATAACTCTTCGACGACCGAAAACAAAATATATTGCTCACATAATGTTGTTTATCCAACCAGTAACGTATTTGATAACAAATATATTGTATACGGTATCAAACGACTCAAATAAATTACAATTGCGACTTGTCAAGAACTAAATGAAAAAGTGATCCCTTCAAAATGATAGGCATTTGTTGCTAACCGGATTCAATTAGAAAAGTTGCGGAACTGTATTCAAACAAAAAGATACATACGAAATAGGGAAAGAAAACAATAAATTGTACAACAACACGGGAGTGATACCCGATGAGAAAGGCAGAAAAATAAATTATGTCCCTATAACCAATATAACGAAACATGTAAAACGTGTAAGTACCGCATCATCACAGTTCCACCTTTATATCATCAACTTCTTCGATAGGCTGAAATTTAAACAAAATGTCAATGACTGAGGTTAGTCGAAAAATCAACCTTTACTGAATGATTTCGAAATGCACAAACGACAAACTTGAATCAACCGGAGTCTCTTATGTAGTAGTTGTCGATAATATATAGTTGTTAACTGGGAGTTTTAAATTGTATGAATGAATCGGCACTGGAGATGACAAGCAAAAAAGGCACCATTACGCGTTCTAACTATGAGCATGGAAATAATACCCAGGTCCTTTTACAGTTACTAAGATCTCTTGTTGTCTATATGACCAACGTTAGTTTCAGCACATAACCGAGAGTAAGATCGTTTTCCGCTGTTTACTTTTGTTAGTCACACTATGAATGATATTAAGCATTAGGGGATAATGACAGCAACAACACACAACCAGCACAATAATAATATGCCTTTAGATCTCTTGGTAAATATGAGCAAAGCAAGAAGGACGAAATTCGCAGAATAAAATGATACCATTTCATTTCACGAATACTCCTAAGCTGCATACAGTCTAAAAGTCCAGTGGTTATCAGCACATAAGGTAATTTAAAATTAGGTAGTCAGTAATCTTAAGTTGCACAGCAAAATCACTGTATAGTATGCAACAGAACTAACTGAACAGAAGGGTAAGAAATGTAGGAATGGAACAATTGATGCTAACAAATAGGTGACTAAAATATAGAATTACGTAATTAAAATGAGACAAGACTAAATTGTAGACACCATGGAAGTGATATGTTGATCACACTCTCCTTCTGTATGCAAAGGTTAGGTTATGGCAATCGCTTCCGCGAAGCGTAGTAATCCAGATATTCCTGCATGTTTATTATTTTAAAAGTTCTAGTCCCACCAACTTGGTGTCCAGTGTCTATGGGGCACCTGCCAGTAACACTGGTGAGAATCTTGCTTCAGGCACACATTTTTGGGGACATGCTCAGTGAACTAAACGGATGCCCACTTCTCAGTCCTTCCATAGTACTTATTACAACAAGTGAATGCAAATTCCTAAATGTAGTTGGAAGTGACATGAAAAGGGTACTTATCTAATTTGGACTAGTTCAGAGAGCATGAGATATCGTATACTCATACAAATTTCGCTGCAGGAAAGCTCCTTCTTAGTACTCCTTTGACTCTTGTGACTACTCTCTTGGATATTGAATGTATGGCGGATAAAAACATTTCCTTTCAACGCTTCGGTGCTAATTTCTTTCGATCTGTTGTTTCCCAAGCTTCATAACAAATCTCTTAGGATATCTTTTCTGTTTGAGACACTTCCTAATAATTCTAAGTTCTCCCTCTAACTTGTCCACAGGACATAAGTTTCTAGCTCTGCCTTTAAGTGTTTTGACTAGCCCACGCCTGTAACTTGCAAGACAGACAGTGTTATCGTTAAGGTAATGTTCAGTCCATGCGTCTTTCCAGGGATATTCCTTTCAATTGTACCATAAATTCTCCTTCTAAGGTTGAGGTCCAAGAAACAACTTGTTGTCATGCTCATATTCTATCACAAATGTATTGTTAAGATAAGCCTCGTTGAACCAGCCACTTGCATACTTCACATCACTACAAACAGCAAAAGTATCGTCAATGCGCCTGTAGTAATAGGTTATTCCTCTGATGACTGAACTCAAACGCATCTGTTCGAGATCACCCACGAAGATATCTGCCAGAACGGGTCCTAGTAGTGAACACATAGCTACTCTATCAGTCTACCGATAAAGCTGGTTATTAAACTGGAAGTGGACACCTTTTATGTAAAGAAGTAGTAATTTCATCTCGATTTCGAGAGATGGGAGTAGACCAGTTTGTTGACATATCAATGGTTTCACCCTCTGGTAATAATAATAGTGGCAAGTGAGGTTCAGTACCTAAACTACTCAACTACAGTTTTGAAATATCAATATATTTCTGTTTTCAGTATTACAAATCTACTGAACTAGCGATCAACAGTAATACAATACATATTTGTCATGAGAAAACTATGATATTATTTCAAAAATCAATGAAATTCTTGTCTACAGGTCATGAGTGTAAACGAGCAATATTCATTTGAACATAGAAGTGGAATTGCACTCATTATCACAAGTCACTCCTTCAAGTGTAATGTAACTGAATACAGCATTCCAAAACAATAATGAGTAGTGCTGCATTAAGTTCATTAACCAGACTACTAAGTGAGACAGCCTTGCATCTGAGAAGTATGTCGGAATATGTATTTTAGTGTTGAGTGCCAGCAGGTAAAAGAACTTGATTCAATTATTCTTGCGACAGTTAAAATATATAAGATTCAAATTACCAAATCCTTTCACAAAATATTCACAATAGATATTATAACAGCTACTGAATCACGGGGTAATTTAATAGATTTTAACAGATAGACAAGAACAACATAGAACCTCGTACACAACTGCATCGGTTCTAGCTGCCACACCCAACAGCAGCAAACAAAGAACAAGTAAGTAGAGAAAAACCAATACTTAAGTAGATAAAGGTGTAAAGAAGCAGAAAGAATTTCAAGATCAAGGTTGGCGAAAATGTTAAGCTTTAGAAGAGGTAAAAGAGTGAATATATCTGCCCCACTGTGACCAGTTTTCAACCATTTCATCAAGCGTCTTCAATCATTGATTACTATTGTCTTGAGGACCCCCCTAACTGGCAGTCCAAGTATACCACACCAAGAGTCAAACTTCGTCAACTGATTACATGTCTCCGTCTGGTCTTCCAGCATTTTATCACAACCAAATTCCACTTCAGCTAGAATTCCATGTGGAGGTTGGAGGTCTCTCGGCATGCGCAGCACATGTCCATGCTACCTTCGTCGGTGAAATTACCCAAACTTAACGACCGTATTGCCTAAACCCTCCGACCAACCTTGACATTTCTCACACGGTGATTCCAACATGCGTGAGCGATGCCACGAAGATACCCAAGATCAAAACCTGTAGTCTACTTTCAACAGTGATGCCTAACAGCCGTATTATCGTTTGAACAAACCGAAATGCAGTGGAGTATACTCGTTGTTTGATAGGGAAATCGGACATCCCGCCAATGTCAGAGATGGCGTGAAATGGCAAATACCAAACGGGACTTTTGTATCTAAACCGAAACCTTGTTAGTCATCAACTTAGTTGGCCTGACGCAACTTCCCAACTACGTGTAGTGGTCAATGCATCCTATCGCTTCTTATCCTTAAACCTGGGAGTATCTGCAGACCACAATGAGGTATCTTTTTACATTACACAGGTGCTGGACACATGCCGAAAAAAACTCCGATTTCTGTTCAAAGCGTTCAGAAGATTCAGAATTTTGTCGGTGTCTTTGCTTAACAGGGAAATACCGTCTGAGTACTCCGAGTCAACCAGATGGCTTAATGGGGGTAGGTTCGTCCCTTTAGAATCGTAAATATCCATTAGTATGTCTTTAACAAAGTTAAACAATTCGGTTGTGGCAAAATATTGTTTTATTCAACGAACACGTTAGTTCTGTTTAGTTACCGTTCACTAGTGGGACAAAAGATATATTTTATATACATACTGATTAGGAGAGTTCCAAACTAGAAATAAATGTAGTTCACCTACAAACTAATTGTACTGATACCAAAAGATCCCCAATTATGCAGTCTATCAGTTATATCAACTAAGGACACCAGGCTGTAAATAGCTGAAGATGGATTATAGATACATTAGAACAAAATGCTTACCTTGGCATCTTTTCCATCCCATGGTTCGACTGTTTTTATTTCAGGCAAGGCCTTAACATCAAATAAAGGAAGGTTTACACCGCCAACGGAGAGCGATCTTAAAAAGTCGTGAACACTAGTTGAACTGAATGATCCTCGAAGAGTAGTCCTTTTCATCTTGCGACCATGTACTGCTACCATAGCCTAAAAAACATCATAAACAAAAATCACTGTTTGGGATAATTCGTTAAAACGATTTATATGAAGTAGCCTCTGCTTGTAGAAGAGTAGGATTTATGTCCGAATGTACTGTTTTATGAATTACTTAAATGAAGAATCAATATATCAGGTTGCGACAATAAGCTGTAGTGAAAGAAATTATCTGACAATATCTTCCTTACTGTTTCCGACAAATGGCTTTGCTAACTTGTAAAGTTCATTCCTTTATACTCTTCAAATTAACAGTATTTTGTCTTAGTTGCTATGATCACTGGCTAATACTTTTATCGTCTACTAAGACGTAATTTCTGATCATCACCAAAGTTCGGCCTAAACGTTTTAGGTAATAGGGTTTCATGATCTGGAGTTTCGTAACTCAACCCAAATTTTATCAAATATGATACAAATGAATACCAATTTTGTCTAAAGTTAGGTAATGCAATTCAAAACAAAACCGTTGAAGGGAGAAACATTTTATGTGACGACCAAGTCATATTACCAGTTTTATTAGTGGCCCCATGCAATTTTTGTATGTAAAAAGGATAAGTATGACTATTGAAAGGTAGCTTTTCAATTTCCCTTTCTTTAAAGTTACGCTTCATACAGTAAAAAATACACTGAAGCTTCTATCCAGTTCTATAGTATGAGTGGTTTTAATTGGAGTTTATGAGTTTTCGCGTTTGTTTAATATGTCACGTTAGCATTAACATAATCCGTACTATTCAAAATGATCAGTAGTCTAATACATATTGGTGACAGGGGAGGGGGTGGTTCGACGAGAGCTAAGACGAATAAAAACACCAACTTTATAACAGTGTATGATCAAAGTAAATGCGGTATGGATTTAAGCCTATAGACTATGAGTAGATATATTAATATTTACGCTCTTCAAGTGAAACTTTGAAGAACTACTCAAAAGGATGAGAATAAAAAGACTTCACACATAAGTAGTCTTGAGGAGTCTGAAGAGTGAAAAACAAATGGCCACATAAAGTAAAATGAGCAAAATCTTCAGAGAGATATCACCTTAAAAGTACACCGTCACACAATGAGCCTGAAATGTTTCTTAATCAAGTTAAATAGCGATATTTGATAAAATATTTGATCTAAATCTTTGTATTACGTGAAATAAGAAAATGGAAGACATACAAGATTTTATGCAACCACTAGTGTTTATTATAATAAAACGATTTCATATAATGCCTTTACGCGGTTACAGTCAATGAGTAAGAAATTGCATATCTACGTTTCATGCGAGTTGGCACTCGTTAGTAAGAATAATCCTCAACCTCAAAGGAACTGACGTCCCCTCAGAGGTTCTACCCCATATTACCCGGTGCTGCAGTCACAGACACAACCAGTGAGCTACTTAAGCCTCGACTCGACTGACTTCGTGTAAGACGGGATGATGTGCATTGATTGATCACTGAAGCTTAACTTATTTCATAATGTTTGGTGCTGGCAGCTGACCGAATTCTCTCTTCAGTGACCAAGCAAAGTGCATTACTATGCCCTACAAAAAGTTAACTACAACTTGAAAAGTTGAGTGACAATGTCTCTGGAACTGCACGGAATAACGAGGGTTGGATCGGTGAGTGGACATTGGTTTCCTAGATATTCTAGATACATCCTGATGACGTGCGTTAACAACCAAGACACCTAAATTTATTGCCTCATACAGTTTGCCTCCAACCACCTAAAATCAATAGCAGTGCGCTGTGGTAGTGACTCCTTAGCTTAGTGGTCACATTTTAAAAATGATCGATAGAATTAGGTCATAACTTAAAGATGATAACATGAAACCATTTACTCCATGGCAATCGATCAACATATAATTCAAAGTTAAATTCGCTTTGACCATAATCACATACGTAGTGAGGAACTTTCTGCTGCAACTAGTCAACTAATTTTATAGTAGCAGCAGGGGTGTTTTAAAGTAGCGGGAACTAAGAAAAACTGTATCCAATACAGAGTAATTGAGAGAAAATGCACTTTCTACTTATAAAGCGTAAACAATTATTATCGAATAAACAACACTGTTAAGCTTGATTCATTTGGAGATGTCTTCAGCAATAGTGTCTTAATTTACAAAACAGTCTACAAGTTAGTGCTAAACTAGATATAGCCGTAAACGCCCTCATTATTCAGGAACAAAAAAAGTTGGAAAAAACAAATATAAATTTAGGACTTCTTACTTTCAACTCAAAAGTATGCCAAACTCTAGTATTCACTGATTTTAACATGTATTTATAAAACTAGAAACCACAAAGTGAACTAGAATAAAGTGTCTCAAGTTGCTGAAAAGAAGTATAGGAAAATGAAATAAGCCAGATTTATTAGCAGAAAAATGTAGGCGATGACTGTAGTTACACTTAGAAAACTGTTTGGAAACATGTATGACAGAAACACACAATTTTAAGAAACATGGCCATTCGATTTCATTAGTTTCATCCAAGAAATTTGAAAGGTGAATCACCTAAAATCTTATGGCAATAAAGTCATCAAATCACGGCATTTCTACAGACAACAGTGTGAACATATGGTAGGTAGCTGATTAAGACGAATAGCTAACAGAGAAACCAAAACACGTAGATCAATGATATTTTCATTCTAAATGTAGGGAATGATCACAGTCAAACAATAATTTTCAACCTACCGGATAACCTGAGCCTCCAATATCGAAAGTCTTTTCCAATTCAGGTTGTTTAAGAGCCTCCGTCCAAAGCCATCTATGACAAAAAAGTATGTAACCAACTTTCAATTGATGGAATTAACGTATAATACACAGATCTCAAAAAGAAAAAACCAATCGAAATAAACTGCGTGAAAGCCTATGAAACCCATTGAGTTAATGTTTTGGACATCCCATTAATGATAACACAATTGCATTGAGACGCCTTCAAACCACACTAGAACTGACTGAAATCAAAAAACCATAAACCAGAAAATAACGTTTTGAAATTAAAACATTTGTCTGGAGCATACTAAAACAAAAATATCATATGAAGTACGAAGACGGAAGTACTAGATCTCATCAACCAACAACAAGAATTAAATGAAACTGGTAGAAAGAGACACCAACATACAATTTATTACTACTTCATGGCTGATGATTAGTGTAACTCATCTACCACGTAAAGTTTGTGTCAGGTCATGGGACATAGCTGTGTGACAGTTTTTGATACTGATCGATTGCCAAGGTCGTTGTAGGTAGAGTAGAATTTGAACCAATGACCTTTGACTTGAAAACTAAGCGTTTAAAGCGATGTACCACAGATCTTCGTAACTGTTCCCATTTGTTACATCTCGCATCAACATATCACACCAGAAGGTAACACGAGGAAACACAAAGAAATCAAAATATAGTTGAAGTCGTCGAAAGCAATAGGGTAAGAAAGAAAAGACAAATATATGGTGATATATGTTTATGCTTCTAAATGGCAATGAGGTCCGAATGTAAGTGCAACACAATAATCGATCATAAGTCATATCACACACCATCGTGATCTACAGCCCTTGGTGCTTTTGTGAGCCCAAGCCATGAAGCCGATATTTTGCTGTTAGACCGCCAGTCGGAGACTTCACGAATTAGTGTCCCATTCGATCATGTTTTGCTTTTCCCAATTAAAGTCTTCTTCAACTAATATTGCACTCCAGGAGAGATGTTGACTTGCTATGCATGATAAGTTTCCGCCACATCAGATTAACAATTTAAGCAACCAGTCAACCTCCTCCAGTAACTAACACTATTCCTAGCCTCCACATTATTCACACAGTGAACTCAACACCAAGGATAATATCACGAAATAGACGGTGGTTAAATGCCTGCAGTCTGTTTACTCCCTCCACACTTAACGATTAAGAAACTAGACCCTCATTATAGGATGGTGTTTAGTTGTGAAGTACACTCGGTCCTTAATTAGCATTCGAATATTGAACAAACTGTTTTTATCGTTGTTCGCACAAGCTGAATGAAGATGATGCTAGGCTGTATCAGGACGAATTGCTGCAATATGCAGATAAATGTCCAGTTATCCCTCTTCCTAAATAGATTTGATTTCTTCATCCCCAAGTGGGGCTGCCGAGAGACTTCATAGCTACTTGTTTCCTGAACTCACTCAGAGTCAGTTACACATGTATTCAAACCTGTGCATGACCACAGTCCAGAAAGTAACTCCAAAGAGAGATGATGCTCCATTAATCCAATCAACAAGTAGCCTTTAACAATATGAACTACGTATATCATTGGTCGTTCAGTAGGGGAAATCTCATAAGGCTTTTCTAAAGGTACTGTCTACTATCGCCCATGATATTCCTGATTGTAGCGGACAGGACTGGATCATGCAACAAACAGTGAGGAGCGAGAAGAGGGAGATACGCTGGACCGCTGAAAGGAACCTAGAAGATTTAGATTTCGCCGATGACTTGTGTCTGATGTCACACAAACTTGAAGGTCTACAGGTGTAAACTAACAAGTTGACAGCAGAGGCAGGTCAGCGAAGACGGGACTTCAAGTGAACGTAGAGAAGACAGTGGTGAGGAAGATACCTTACCAACAATAACAAGCTCCAGTCACCATCAACGGGAGAAACTTGAGGGAAGTAGCCCCTTTCATCTATCTAGGAAGCACTGTTTCAACTACAGGCGGCACTGACGAGGATGTCAAAATCAGAATCGGAAAAGCAAGACAGGTGTTCATTAGCCTGAAACCAGTGTGGAGATCTACTGCAGTGCACTCAGCATGCGGAACAAGATACGGATTTTCAACACCAACGTCAAGTCAATGCTCCTGTATGGCTCAGAGACTTGGCGCGTTACGAAAGGGATTTCCAACAAACTACAGACATTCATCAACAACTGCCTACGCTCGCTACTGAAGATCAGATGGTCGGAAAGAACAAGCAACAAGGAACTCTGGGAACAAACCAACTAAGAACCTATCGCTGAACAAATATGCACTGGAAGGAAGTGGAGATGGATTGGGTTGGGCATACACTGAGAAGGCCGACTGGGGACATCACGCGCCAGGCCAGGCCCTCGAGTGGAACCCCGAAGGGAAGCGACGAGTTGGGCGTCCGAGGTGAGGGTGACATGGAGGAGATCGTGCGAGGAGGAAATGAGAGCTTGTAGGCTGTTGTGGAGCCAGGTTCAAAAGATTTCAGGGAACAGAGTGGAATGGGGATGTGCTACTGAAGCCCTATGTTCCACTAGGAACCTAAGGGACAAATAATAATAATAATAAAGGTACAGTGGTTTTTAGAGTTTCCTCTGTGCTTAGAATACCTTAGCATTAGTGACGGGATGTTGTACAACAAGGGAAGATGCATGCTTATTAGTGCAAACCCTTTCTAATTTCTCCTTCTTTGACTGCGGAGGCAGCACAGTGAAAATGCTGGTAGACTAGGAGGAAAACTAATCAGACAGACTTCATTCCTAGACCCCTATCACAGCGTAAATAAATGGTGCTATGATAATAGTGGCTTTTGGTTGTATGAGGACTATCCAAGCGACCTAAGTAGAATGATAGGACGGAAAGGAATAATTGTTTCAGTATGACTTTTTAGGTACTTACGTTGGGCTAGTTTGATCACTATAACAATGTAGCAGCCGTCAGTTAGAGTTTGGATTTTTCTGAACCGATGACCTACAGAGTGAATTGTGGGTGCTCAAATAAGTGAGTTAGAAGCCACACTGAGACCTAAATTGAAGCATATTATCATTCGTCAATCAACGATGAAAACTGCTTATATGTTGTCTGCCAATTATTATCATACATATTTCACAGTCAATGTACACAAGTTTTCATATATCATAACAGATTGTTTATAAAACAAGTTGATTTAAAATAAATGCAACATCAAATATATGTCTAACATCGGTCAGGCGAAAAATCACAAAGTTAATTTAAATTAGTAACGATACTTCTAGCGTAGTTATTATATATATATATATATATATATATATATATATATATATATATATATATATATATATGTCGGAACAGAATATAAATTAGCTTAAGAGCATACCCCCATTTCTGTTTCTTGAAGTTAGCAGCCTCTGTCTTTAGTATATCTATGTATTTGTTACGACAATCTGACTGACAGTCGTACAGCATAGGGAACACACTGATGATACAAAGCGGATGGTTTTCGCAGGCTTCTTTTAAATCATTTGCCGAAGTCAGTTCGATAACCTCTGGTGATGGTGCTAAAGCGTCTACTTTTTCCATAGCCCATGCAACGATTGCATCGGAAGTTCGAGCACCATCGTAATCAACTGGATCATCAGTTTTCTGTCCAGCAGGGAAATACTTAATGGTAGGGAAACCTCGGATCTAAAACGGAAAAAATTTTACGATATATTAAACCATCAAGTTAAATATTCAAATCTACTGACTATTGGACTAACTTTTAAACATTGGTAGCAAGACAAAGTGAAACATTTACAGATATTGACTGAAAATCATACTGTCTGGATAACAGACGCAATTGGAATGCTGAAAGAAATCAATCAACCCAACTTCCTTCGTTTGCAAATAAAGGAAAATTACCTCAACTGGAAATAGATCAGTTAGCAAACTGTTGTCATCTGTTAGCAGTGTACAATAACTGCGCAAAAAAACAGTAGTTACGCTAAAGTTAACTAAATATGTAGTCTTTTAACAAATACGTGCATGTTCATGCATTGAACAATGAGCCACGCCTATTGCGTGACAATACCTGGCTCCCAATCATGTTCCTGTCCACCCCAAGCAAAACATTAAGCCGCATCACACTGTAGACACTAAAAAATGCTCCGGATTCAAAATTACAACCGGAGTAGGCAAGCTTCAAGAAAAACAAATCATTTGAGGATCAAATTGCAACACCACGCATCATCATAAGACAGAGCGACTTCATCGACTTTGAGAAGGCCTTCGACAGTGTCGACCGAGAAGTAATTTGGCAGCTGCTTCAACACTACGGAGTGGCACAAACCCTCATCAACCTCACTCAACAGATATATAATGATGCTACATGTCAAGTGATTCACAAAGGCAAGCTCAGTGATGCCTATAGGAAGTCATGGAGCCAGGTTGAAAAGACTGTAAAGAACAGAGTTCACTGGAGACGTGCTACTGAAGCCCTATGTTCCACTAGGAACCCAAGGAACAAATAATAATAGTAATAATACCTGGCTCCCAAACCAGTGACAGGTGGAGCGGCGTCCGAACCCGCGACCCACTGCATGAGCCAACTTTCTAGACCACCAAGCTATAACTACTAATGGTTATACTAGTCACAATTATCAAAGTTCGGGAGGGAGCAGACAGCTATTTTAAAAAGGACTAACACTATTAGTACACAGTAGGAATTTATGACCAGTCATGAAAAACTACATCAATCAACCTAAATTATGTATAGTTATTGAAAGTTAATTTCACATCTTCTCTTGTATGCTTGAGGAGAATACTTGGACCAAAACTTCAGTCGCCTTAACTAGTAGTGATGATAAATTGTTTCCACACCAACCAAACCTGTTCTTTTACCTCTTAAAACATTATCCGGAAAAGAGAGGGAAAAAAGTTCGCCAATCACTGCATATTTCATGCAGTGGTACATTATTCACAAATATGAGTAAATTAGAAAAATGTCAATGAGCTGCGCGACAGACAGTCCCTCATTCAACCTGAAAAAATGAAGATTACGATTGTAAGAAACTGACCACAAACTGTAGACATAAATAATTAATAGTTAAGCAATAAAAAAAGAAAGCTAAGTCAAATGAACATCCATGCATAGGGCTACTTCAAGTGACTAAAAGAAAAATACGGTGAAAAACCAGTAGAAAATTAATTACTAACTTACGAAACACTTATCTGTTACAAAGTTAACCAACAGTTCAGAAGGAAGCAGATAAATTGCGGGCGGAAATATGACCTATTTACTGAATAGTGGACTCCTTGCCCGAATATCAGTGAACGGGCGACATAGGAAGCAACCGATTGGTTTACTGCTTAAAAGATCATATTTCAACGCAGCAATTGTCGACATCAACAATCCTATTATCCATCGCGTTTTGTTTTGGCTACTCATATAGCTGTTCATCAGTTAATCTCCTCAGATTAAGCCAACATTCGAAGTAAGTGGGTGCTTAAGTTCGCTAATTTAACTACGAAGGGGGTTTTAATTTTAAACCAAATCTGAAAACAGCCCTGGTTATTAAGTCACATGTTCTGGACTTAATCTAGAATGTTGTGACAGCAGCTACTGCTAATCCCATTCAACTATGCCTCATTCCGTGGTGCGACATACAAACTACCGGTTTGTTGCTCCCTAACTTCTTTCGGTTTTGAATATTTCTTCAGTTGGTCTTGGCAAAGAATACTGTAGGTGTAAAACCGAAGATGGTTTTATAATATGGTTGGGGTGATTAAACAGGTTTGGACCTCAGGCTACCAAACGTTTTTCACCAGACATATTGCATCAAATTCTCCCTTTTCAGTTTGTTTTAATCTCTCAAATATTTCCTCAGAACGCATCATGTTGTGTTGTACATTTTAAAAGTATTTTCAACTAGCCGTTTTTCGAGTTTAATAGTAAAACGAAGGGAAAATATCGCGCTAAGTGAAAATAGACTATTGAATGCAAAAAAATGCATCATGTTTCTATTCCACGGACACTTAGCTCGAATAGCAGATTCTTGTACTGGTTGAATGGTCCATCACCAACCAACTCATGCTTGCTTTTGCGTTCATTCTTCATTATTGATAGGACGCTAATCAGAAATAAATTAGGTGTTTCATGATATTGCCTTTAACAGTTATTATTAACATCAACTATTTAGCAGAAATGTAAGTGCAAATACAGGAAACCCTGTAACTATATTTTACACTTGGTTGGTGCAAAAAGCATCATATTTCGATTGCCAATCAGTATGATTTAAAGAAGACCAAACAGATCAACAAAAAACTTAGCACAAAAACGAATCGGTTATAGCTGCCTTACTTCTTGGTAGCATGAAAATTAGAACTGAACAGAGAAAAATGATCTTAATGTAATTTTACGAGGGGAGTGAATAAATAAATGGGGACTAAGTATCCAAAACTTTAAAGATGACAGAGACTGCATATATCTGCTCGATTGTGAGAGACTTGAATATTACCAAGTCTTCAACTAATGAATTCTATTCATTTGAGGACCTCCATCAAGCGGTCTACATTTCCACACATAGTTTAGACCAAAAGTCAGACTTCATGAAATGATGCTACGTCTTATTTCAGTTACGCTGAACCTTTTACTAGCCTAAACCTAGTTTAACTAACAGGTATGTGCAACACATGTTCTATATATATCACGCCATGGATCAGGGTCACGTCTTGGCCTGGTCACCCTTAACCTCTATATGTACCAAGATGAATATTTGTTCATACATTTCTGTATTCCTAAATCTGACTGACTGACAAAATCAACGTAGAACCTCGCATGCAAGTGCATCAGCGCAAGTTGCCACACTTCACAGTAGTACACAAAGAACAGTTGTATAGAAACAAGTGGTGTCAAAAATACAAAGTTGTGTGAGAGAATAAAAATTCTGAAGAAAAAAGTTGGTGTACATTTTTAAGCTTTAGATGTCAAGGGGTGAATACATCTGCGCCACTGTGACAGATTTTTAGCCATGTCACAGAGTTAGTTCCCAACCACTGATTCCTTTCCTCTTGGGGACCCCAGCGAGGCAGTCCACATCACTACACACGGCTCAGATCAACAGTCAGAGAATTCATGGACTGGCACTATGTCTTGATCTGGCCACCCTGAACCCTCTTCCAACCTGACCCAGCTTCCCTAGCAGGATATGTCGATGTAGCCGGTGGTTCGGGATGCGCAGTACATGTACAAGCCATTCCAGTCGACTAAGGTTCACAACCTCATCAATCAACTTGCCTTTCTTGCCTAGTGCCCTTCGCCTGACTGCAACATTGCTAACAATCCCTAAATCTTAAGTGAATATACCTTTTAGGACCACATATACAACAAATTAATTTGAGTTCCAACCCACGCTGTACAAACTAGATGCACAGAATACACCTCCTAATTTGTTTCCACAGTAAACTAACTATATTCATCAAAAATGAAATAACTACATAGATCTAATGTACAAAACAAGTTAAAATAATACTACTTTTCCAAGAGCTTATATCTATAATCCTTCTATACATCCAAGTTAAATAATCCTACACTAAGAAATTAGCAGCAGCCTGGTGTGCTAATAGGTGTTGGAAATTATTCACTTCATTCAATTCTGACTTATCTAAACAATATTTATTCATCTTGTAATACTACTCTTTAAACAAAATATGTAAGTTAGTCTAACGTTAGTTTGTTTGTTGGATATTTCACACAGAAAGTATTTTCTCTTTCATATATGAAATATCCAACAAAAACTACATGGGATTATGCACTGCCAAAGTGCTTAAATTTTCATCAACTCAAACAGTACCTAATGAAAATTTCTCCTGTGCTTCTATCAGAACATTATTTGCAAAGTGTAGGTTTTTTGCAAGCGATTTCAAGACACTTACAAAGTGCAATAAAACCCTAATATTGATGGTTCTTTACTAGTATATTTTTACTTATTATTCGATAATTATTGGATCATGGAAAACAGCAACAGGTTGAGAAATCGCCTACGCGTAAAAGCGAACAAAATTATTACTAAATTTACTAAAAAACCAAATAAGTAGTCATACATTGACATACTTCTCCACCGATGTCAAAAGTTGCTTTTAGGTCAAAGAATATAGCAAGTGTCGTAAGCCGGTGAGTGAGCTGATGTTGCAGATCCTGACAAAAAATGAAGGTCCGGTCAGTAATCTCTGTACCGACTTGAAACCTGTTTAGTTTTCTTCAATTTCTTTCTCAGGTGACTTTAGAGCCTAGAATGAAAGTGATTTTCACCTGGACATCAGAGGGAGATTTATTTTCTTTTATATGAATCGCAATAATAAAGACTTACAATGGTCTGATAGAACCATCTTGGTGAGCTCACTCCCCCCCCCCCCATTTTATAATCACTGAATCCTGATTTCCATCGTTAAAGACTATAAAAGGTAAAATGTCTAGTCTTACTGGCTCACTGTTTTAAGTTTCATAGTCCTCCCAAATTTGATCAGGGTTATAAGACATAAACCTAGATTCTATTTATATTAAGGTTAAGCAGTGGACAAATAAAGGGTAGTTGAAAGTTGATTGGACGATCTCAAAGTATTATCATGGATTTCAGTTGCCTGCTTTGTGAGTAGATCGCTTAGCGTTCTTTCGTTGAAATAGCTTCACTGAGCATTGGTCTTTTCTTGATTTAACTGCTTAGGAAGCTTAAATAGTGCTTATGTCTTGTGCATTCATTTCATTCCAACAACTCACCATCGCTCGTTGTCAATTCAAGAACTTTCGGTCCCTTTTTTATCCTGCCTTCGTTGCTCATTACAATCAGTCAGTTGAAATGAGTCTTTCACAGTGATCGGTTCAACTAAAACTGAAGAAATCCATTAACTCTTTAGAGCTGATGGTCGTAAATTACTGACAGTCTTTAACACTGATTGCACAGAAGATTGAATATGAAACCAAGATATATGTGGTTGAGAGTCACTGTTATGATCTAATAAATACCAAATTACGTTCACCTTAAATACAGTCCTTCATTTCATTTTCAAGCCGGACAAATAGAGGCCTTCTATCTACAATACAGTATTTCTAAAAGCAATGACTACAAGCATTTGTAAGGTGTGTTAGTCGGTAACACAGCGGTACAACCAAAATTCGTGTCAGTTTTCGTAAGAAATACAGTCGTCGACTTCATACTTTCTATTAAACTCTATATATATGGTCCTGAAGACGGAAATGAATTTGTCACTAAGCTTCTGTTTCCATAATAATACCTTGTTCGACTGACTTACACAAAAGAAAGAATAGTCCTCGAGCTAATAGGATGTTCAAGAAAAATAGAAGAAATGGGGCTTTGGAGTGATTTGACTTGGTTTCTAGCAATAAATGACACAAAAAGCACTTACACTATACTTCTTGGTCATTTGACTGTGAACTGTAGAATCCAAAGCACCAACCTTAACGACTCCTTTTAGTTCACGTGCTGCCTGGAACCAATGAGGCTTTAGATTTTTACCTGGAAATAGTATAAAAATAGGGATACTTAAAATATATTTACCAAAAAAACTTATGATCAGTTTTATAATGTTCATAGATCACTTATTTGTATTTTGTAAATCAAAATCAAAATGAAGTTAGACGACAAACCTAAGGTATTAACCAAGCGGGAAGACTTTTTGTGTTCCATGAAGAAGTACGACAATTGAATTGTCTTCCTCCTTTCAGCATAACTGGTAAATATAGGCTGTTCAAGGACGCCAATGTGAAAACTCCATATCGTTAAAGGATTGACATTACCGACAAATATTTTTCAAATTTGTAGAAAGGTTGGATAGAAAGCACTACTATTCAGCAGGAGCTAAAGTCTATGTACTGATAATTATACGGTCACCAGGACTAGAAAAGGGAAAAAGTATAACGTGACCCATCCCTCCCCTGTGGCTACCAGTTTTCGACCTGGATCTAAATAAGGAAATACACAGATGAGGCAGATAACTTAGTATTCAGCTACGTTGATGCTAACAACAGGAAACATTAATCTTCACATCTACTTTCCGAATAACGACAGTAAACAAGAACTGCAAACTAATCCATTGTTACATTAAGGGCACCATATTGCCGAATAACACACGCGGAGAAATAAAATTACAACAAAAGTAGTAATCATAAGCGTTGGTTATGCATTCTTTGGTTGACGTGGCTTTTTTCCTTTCAAGTACTGTCTTTGTTTTGTGTTACTTATTCAAAGTTGTACAACCATACACCTCACAATTTTGAAAACCATGTAAACTACGTAAAAAAATATGCGATCTTCAAACTAAACATATCAGTAGGAACACAAGCCAACCATATTACTAGGTGAGCTTAGTGAGCGTCATCGGATTACACAAACCATCTCAAATGGAAACACAAACATACACTTTGTGATTGCCAGTTGAAACTTAGCTCTATAGGCCTGTATGAAACACTATATAAGTTCTTTTGAACTGGAAAAAATTGTCTTTCAGATTTTTGCAGATTAACTTGCAGTTACCGAGATTCATTTTTCATGGAAATATTTGGGCGCTGAGGCCTACCTTCATCCCCTACTTATATGCCTAACGTGAAGGTCGATAGCCAAGTGCGACGTACGGTTTAAAGACCCAGTTTGATGGGGACTAACCACTAAGTCGAGTGACTAGGCTACTGGTAACATAAATGTCGACTGTGATAGGTTTTCTATATTATCCTGCTCACCTTGCATCCTATAGACTGTATCAATGTGTGAGCGTCGGAGGCATGAAGCTTAAACTGCACATTAGGCTTCAGAATAGCTGAGACAAATTTTTAACTGTTGGACGACGTGAAAGTGAATCCCTGGCGAACTGAAATTTAAACGGTGCAGATGGGTCGAAATTCAGACAAGTGACTTAAGTGAAACAATAAATTTCATATGCAACTGTAACGATAAAATTAGTCGGTGAATAAGACATTTATGTTGAAATAAGCTTCATTTGTAGGTAACAAGTAATTCTTAAATATGGAGTATATCCGAAACATTAGAGCTGAGATGTTGTCTATATGCCTAGATGGAAACGTGTAGTTCACTGGAGAGACTAGTTTCATAGCTTTAGGCATATGAGGCAATGAAACGTCTGGAGCTGCATTCACACGGCAGTCGGTGACTGTTACAGAAGTTTCCAAACATAATTCGAATGAAATGGCTGGGATACACGGTGCGTATCCCTAGCCACTGCCTGCCTCGTCGCACAATGTTGGCCGAAGAAGGTTCAGGCTGGAAAAAGGCTGTGGTGGCCGGACTAAAACATAGCATCAATGCATATAGTCCTTGACTGTCCATCTGAACTATGTAGGGCGATGCAGACTAGCCGGTTACGATCCGCGAGATAATAGAAACCAATGGTTCAAGACTCGAGGTGATACAGCTCAGAACCAATGTCAGTGACGTATATGTATTAACACATTATACTCATCTTAATCAGTATACTTAATCTCACCACTCTCTCATTCCTCCTTCCTCTTTTACTACTTTACTTCCTTTGACCGATTTTTCTCTTTTACTTCACCTTCCATTTGATTGCCTTGTTTCTTGACATCCTAATACGAGGTGTGGCAAGTTGGACCGTCATGCAGTAATGCCTGGTCCTATGTTGATTCTAATGATGACTACATAATTCGTTCTTTTGGGGATCCTGGGGTCTTTGCGTATCAACAGTGTCTAAAAAAAGGGTTCCTCAACTCCAAGTGGATGCTTTGTATCCATCAATGGGGCTTAGATGCCAGACTTTTGCTTTTGCATCCTTAATTTGCTACAGACCCGCGCACTACATGATGAATGTAAGCCGAAATTTCGTTAAGAAAATAGAAGTGCACAGTTGAACCAGTGTTTCGACAAGAGCAAACTTTACCCAGATTTAACCGTATCAGGATATCGGATAAATAATACATAAGGGGCTAATTGAGAAGCTGAAAAAACAACACTTACAGTGGCCACACCAAGGAGCGAAGAACTCTACTAACCATGGCTCTTGACTGTTGAGAACCATTTCTTCGAAATTGCTGTCTGTAAGCTTTATTACATCAGGTTCGGTCGAATCATCCTTGTGTAGAAAAACATATCATACTTTGTTTTAAAATACCAAATGATAAATAATAAACAAAAGTACTAAGTATATGCTTTAGGTAGTTTCGATTGTGGGTGAATACGTAAGAAATATACATGCGACGATGCACCAAAAATACTGGTTCTGCAGTTCAAATATAGTAAGATAATTTTACGGCCATGCTTCTATGAACACAACAGGCTATTACTTCGACTAGGTAGAATAACTTAGCAACAAATGAGGCAAGCACTCAGAACCTTAGTGTGTGCAAAATTTACCTTAACAAAACAAAAGACTATATGAGTTACTACGTACAGTTACTACTGGCGATTACGGACACATTTTTTGCTGATTTCAAAATCACAGGATTTGAATACCAACTTTAGTATATTCCTAACACCTGACTCTAACTAGCAATCTCTTCAGGTCACTAATCCATTGAAAAACTAAACTTACAGGGATGAAGTGAACAAAGTTACGTAAAAGTAGTAAAGCTGCTCGCAAAAGGTAAGGTAACTGAAGGGTTGTTTGCATCCAGGTCCGTGCACTAGATTGTCATAAACTTAATGTGAAAGGACTAATGTGTCACCATACGGTTCAAAACTCGAACTCTCGGTCCAATCACCCGACCGATAGCTGCTACCTTGACGTGGTGGTCGGGCTTGCATATCACAATGACCCAACGAGCTATGCTGGTGGAACGCTTGTTCCCTCGAGGTCCTACCATACCAGAAAGGTCTGTTGGGTAGTGGTTAGACGAAAAGCAGTTACCGTTATAGTGTAAATTGCTACACTATGATGGGGGTCTGAGGGCGAAGTCGTACTGCTGCTAGCTGGATGGGGTGTGACAGCAGTAAGGTGTTTCCCTTGGATGACCAGCAGTGCCAAGCTGATGCTGCCTTCTCAGTGGAAGGGGGGTTAGAAAAGGTCGGCCCCAAAAATAACACACTCCACCACGCCCCACGGTCTGCCGGGCCGGCGGTGTTGGTTCACTTGTCGTTTCCTTTCGCTCATCCGGCCCCAAAAATACAAAAATTCAAAATAATCATACTCAAAAGGCTGGGTGTGACAGGCCTCAAGCAGATGTCCGATGGGCTCTGCGGTCACACAAATCTCTTTCAGGTACCTTAAGAAGAAATAGCCTTCCACGGTGTGGGCAGCCGGGAAGTGTCAACCGCCCTCACAACTCTGTCAGCACCCAAGTTTCTTCTGACTGCTATCCTCCTCCTCCATCATTACCTTCTAATCTTCCTTCACGTCTCTTAATTAATGATGCTGCATCATCTTCAATTTCTCCTACCTCTGCAGCCTTCGACAACGATCTGAGTCCACAGAACAGCGTCCCTGGTCTCCTTAAACCACGCTCCAAATTACATATTGGAGCCTTCAATGTCCGCACCCTCCGTCAAATTGGCCAACAGGCTTCGTTGGCAAAGACTCTAGCAACTCGAGGCATGGATGTGTGCTGTGTTTGTGAGACACGCATACAGGACCCAAGTGTGGTTATTCACCTGACCTCTCCTGACCAATCTGGTGAATCTGCAAAATTCACCCTTCGAGTTTCTGGAGATTCGATAGCTAGCTCTCGTGGTCTTGCAGGTGTAGGTATAGCATTAAGCACCAGGGCAGAAAACTCACTACTAGACTGGATCCCAGTTGATAGTCGCCTCTGCGCTATGAGGCTGAACGGCACAGTGAGAACTAAAAGGAATAGTGAGACTCGCCGTTGTCTCTTTGTAATCTCTGCTTACGCACCCACTGACTGTAGTTCGGATGAAGTGAAGGACGAGTTCTACCATAAACTGTCTAACCTCCTCTCGAAAGCCAAACGTTCGGACGTAGTGGTTGTTGCAGGTGACCTCAACGCACAGGTGGGTAGACTGAGTGAGGCAGAAAGGCACTTAGGTGGCACTTTCGGAATCCCAGCTGAACGTACAGATAACGGTGATCGCCTATTACAACTATGCTCAGATAACCGCCTATTTTTAGCCAGCACAAATTTCAGACATAAAGAAAGGCACTGTCTGACCTGGCGTCCACCGAGCTCGACTCAGCGATGGACACAGATAGACCACATTGCTATTAGTCATCGCTGGAGAGGATCGGTGGAAGACTGCCGCTCCTTCTGGAGTACGTGTTTGGACAGCGATCATGCGTTGGTCCGAGCACGTATATGCCTGCGTCTCAATGGACGTAGAAAAAATTTGGCAACAAAACCACTACGAGTTCTGCTGGACAACGAAAACACCAAAGCCGTGTTCAGTGAGAAGTTGGCTAGGCAGTTATCGGAACAAAAGACTGTCACTCATCCAGAAGAAGCTTGGTGCCATCTTCAGTCTACTGTAAAAGCAGCACTGGAGACTGTAGCCGACTCCAAGATAATGGCTAAAAAGAGCCAGTGGATATCAGCAGCTTCTTCCAAACTAATGGATGCACGTGAATGCATCCCTGCAGGCTCTGAGTACAATGAAGAGCGAGCGCAACTTAAAAATAAACTGACGAAAAGTCTGCGCAACGATCGTGAACAGTGGTGGGCAGCAAAGGCTAAAGAGATGGAAAAGGCAGCGGCGATCGGTAACAGTAGACAGTTATTTAGACTTATTAAGGAGACTGGGGGGAAATGGTCAACAACAGTTAGTGAGGTTATAGCGGAGAAGGACGGATCGGCGATTCACTCGCAGGGAAGGCGACTGGGACGATGGGCAGAACACTTTGAGGAACAGTTTAACTGGCCTCCAGCCACCATTGCGCTGCCCGCTATCCAGTCGGACCCTGAATGGGACATAGAGACAGGTCCCCCAACACTAGAAGAAGTTGAGAAAGCGGTAGGTAGCCTGAAACGGGGAAGGGCAGCAGGACCAGACGGACTACCTGCTGAGGTATACAAGAATGGTGGTAGAGTTCTCTTAGTCAGGCTAACGGAAGTGTTAGCCAGTATATGGGAATCAAATACGATCCCCTCCGACTGGTCTAAGTCACTCATCATCCCAGTCTTCAAGAAAGGCGAGAAGTCCTCTTGTGATAACCACAGAGGAATCAGCCTGACAAACATAGTGTCTAAGATCCTAAGTTCTATAATTCTCCGACGCCTGAGTGGAGCTCGGGAACAGCAAGCCCGAGAAAACCAGGCAGGCTTTAGACCTGGCCGTGGATGTATCGACCAAATATTCACACTGCGCCAGGTCCTGGAACATAGGCATGCTTACAGACGCCCGACAATAGCTGTATTTCTCGACCTGAAGGCGGCATTTGACTCCGTTGATCGAGAAGTCTTATGGCAGTGTCTGTCACTGAAAGGCGTGCCTAGTAAGTACATCACCTTATTGAAAGCTCTCTACTCGAACACTTGTGGGCATGTTAGAGCCTATGGTGAGTTGTCCAGGGAGCTATACTCATCAAGTGGTGTCCGTCAAGGATGCCCACTATCCCCATTCTTATTTAATTTTATCATAGATATTCTTATGGAGGTTTCCCTCTCGTCACCTAATTACAAAGACGTTGACCGGATCACAGGTGAATTTTCCTTAGATCTAGAATATGCAGATGACATAGTCCTGTTAGGTGAAGACGCTGACAAGATGCAGAGTCTTCTGAACACTTTGAGTGGGAATTTGAGAATGTTTGGGATGCGATTTTCACCACCCAAATGCAAATTTTTGCTCCAGGACTGGTCTTCAGCGGTACCGCGGTTAACAATAGAGAGTGAAGTGGTTGAGTGTGTTGACCACTTCACTTACCTGGGAAGTAGGATCAACCCGGTGGGTTAGTTGCCGATGAGATTTCTGCACGGATACAAAAGGCTCGATTGGCTTTTGCCAATTTGCGCCACCTATGGCGCCGCCGTGATATTCGTTTGTCTATTAAGGGTCGCGTGTACTGCACAGCAGTCCGCTCTGTTCTACTGTATGGCTGTGAAACATGGCCATTGAAAGTGGAAGACATGAGAAGGTTACAGGTATTTGACCACCGTTGCCTTCGTAGTATAGGACGTATTCCGTGGTGTCACCATGTGAGTAATGCAGAAGTTAGGTGTAGAGTTTTAGGGAGAAGAGGTAAGTCAGTCGACGAGGTTGTGAACCTTCATCGACTGAGATGGTTGGGACACGTACTACGTATGCCTAGTCACCGATTGCCTCGTCACACAATGTTGGCTGAGGTGGGTTCAGGCTGGAAAAAGGCCCGAGGTGGCCAGACTAAAACATGGCACCAATGTATGAAGTCTCTGACTGTTGGTTTAAGCCATGTAGGACGATGCAGACTAGGTGGTTGGGGTCCACGGGACAAGAGGAACCAGTGGTTGGAGACCCTAGGTGATATGGCTCAGAACCGAAGTCAGTGGCGCAGATGTATACACACATTATCCTCATCTTAACAACGCTATACCGAATCTCACTATTTTGTCACTCCTCTTTCCTTTCTTCTCGTACTTTATATTTCTTTTGACTGCATTCACTTATCTTCATCCTTCACCTCACTACCTTTTTACTTGATGTGCTGATATGAGGTGTGGCAACTCGGACCGTTACGCAGTAATGCCTGGTCCTATGTTGATAATGATGATGATGATGACGGTCCAATCAGGTCCTACAAGAAACTAAAGAGCTACGGCTCCACTTATGATGGATGACTAACTAAAACCTTCCCTGGGAAGCCCTTCTTTTACAGAACAAGAAGCAAGAGCTCAAGAAACTTCTTCCTCTTGTCTTCTAGCTTACTAACACAGATTCTAGGTGATAAAATGTTGTGTCCAAACCACACCGAAGACATACCAAAATTGGATGTACATGGAAATAGCAACACTGTGGATAGCGATTATAACATGTCGCAAATTCAAAACAGAGTTTAAATACAATATGAAAAAAACCAAAAGAGAACATATGAGGGTAACGACTTACTGAAGAACTTGAACCCGTCCTAGAATTCACTACAGAAACTAACTCCTGCAAAGCTTCTTTGTTAAGATGTTCGACATCTCTGCCACCTTAAAAAGAATTAACTTTCCATGACAATCCTACCTTTATATATTTTAGGACTGTGTTTTTTATCTCCGAATATCATAATTGTTGGAAAGCCCTTAACTGAAAACTGTCCAGTTACTCCAGGATTATCGTCCGAATCCACAGCCCCGACCTTTATAATACCCTGTTTGAACATTATGGAGGATTTCAGTCAAACGTACCTTGAAGTTAGTTGCGAAACGTTTCCAATCTGGTGCAGCGTTTTTGCTATGTCCACACCAAGGTGCATAAAACATAACAAACCAAAGGTCACTGCTTGATGTTACCGTATTAAAGTTCTGGTCAGTAAGTTTAATAACATCATCATTGGGACTGAACAGACAGAATACTGGACTCAACAGTACGAAGAGAACTGCAAAAGTGAGTTAAAAACAGTTAGAAAGTACGAATTTTAAGTCTACCAGTAACTACCTATTGCAACAACTAAAAATCAACTTTACATCATTCTGACTAGGTTTTCTCACAAACGGAATGTAGGGAAGAAGGTTCTACCTACAATATCTAGGGCATTGATTTCCTCCAGAAGTACATAAATCGCCTTGTAGCATATGATCATATCCAATCAGGTTAATCATAGAATAGCTTTAAGAACAGCCACAGCAAAACTCTAAGGATGTTCGGTATGTCCATGTAAATGTGAAACAGTGCTTCCGGACTAGTTGGTACTAGTGACAAGAACGAGACTAACTGACACCGGTTGTATCAACTGCAAAAGGATTTGTGCTCAATGAATTCTAGAATGAAATGCAGGAAGCTTTGACTAACTCATACCAGTTGCGAGGTATTCAGATTATAATCGTTAGCTGTGCATGCTACGCAACAGTCCATTTCTCTACATTCTACTATAATTACCAGTTTAACCCGAGCATTACAAAAATACGTAGCGTCTAAGGGTAAGGGACGACAAAAAGGAAGACTCAGTGCTACTGGAGTCAGTTAATGGCAATTATCACAAATACGCCACAAAACTGCTTGCAGAAAGATGCTAGCCCTTATACAATAGCGATATGTCTACGTATATAAACCTGAGTGGTTGCCGAGATGTTATTCCGATACATTTGTTATGTTTTATGATCAAAACAAAGTGCAGCCTACATTTTTTGACCATTCTCCTACTAGCAAATCTCTAGTGTCGTAGTTTCGGGTTCGAACTCGAAAAGTTACGAGAATTAAAAATTACTTGACAGAATATTTATCACAAAACAGTCGAGGCTTGTTAATTATTAGTCGAACGCGTTTTAATCACTTTTCTGCCCTTAGGCGTTAAATACTGAGCGTATGGTATAAATGTAAAAAAGATATTGGCTTAATGGCCTGGTCAAAGCTAAATACACCATAACGCAGTAGCGGAAACTGGGAATCCCACTGCATCTCGATTTGAAAGAAGCTTCAAAATACCCACGAATGGCGTCAGACAACATTTAAATGTCGATAGTACTGTGCATACATTAAAAAAGTACAGGAAGTTAGCAAGCTTTGCGTACAGAGGAAACCAAGGAAATTTACGACCAAATTTCTAAGCAAATTTCGGAAGTTTCCCAGGTTCTACGGAGCATTGAGGAAAACAGATACACAAAACTCTTTTCGAATAAATCTGCCCGAAAACTCAAAAGTGAAGTTTTTACAGACTACATCGAGCAAAACTCTTGGGTACTCAAGCACAATGCAGACGCAGCCAAACAGAAAACACACCTATACAGCGACGATACATGTTACGGAAACTGAAAGTGACCGCCTGAGAAAATGATAATAGATATGTTGTTATCCGATTGGCTACTATTTATAAATCTTACGGAGAAAAACAAATTTCAATATCCAATTAACCCAATACCTTTTTACGAGCCAGTATAAACTAGTCGATGTCTTCGCGCTTCCTTCTACGTCTAGTAAAACAGCTCCAGGTCTTTGGTGGATTCCGATGCAATAGATCTACCCACTCGACTGCTGTAGCTTTGATTAACCTGACGGGTGAATTGGTGATCATTAAATTTGTAGAGGTGGTGTGGCATTTTTAAGGGCTGTGTGGCAGATGCGTTCCTCAGGCGCCGTGCCACCAGACAGCTGGTCGGACCGGTTTCAAAAGAAGGACAGAAAAGATGTTCGGAAAATTCAAGGAAGAGGAATTGCGAGGAAAAAATACAAAAAACGATGTGGTGAAAGGAAGCGGAACGGAACGGAAGGAGAAATCTAGGTATATTCATGGAAGTTAAATGTCATGGAGAACTGTTATTGAATAGTGTGTTAAAATACAGTCAGAGGGAGGAGTGGGAGCAAGCAAGATTACATGATGGGTTATGGGAATAGTGATAGTAATACTACTGATAGGAGATGGTGACTGGAGGGGGATGTCTACAGGGAAGCCTAAGGTTGGGTCAGGTTGGCGATGATAGCGATACTACAAACGTTTCGGCAATGCTTTGGCTGTGATGAGTTGTGCGGAGTTAGTAGGCCGTATCAGCTTAGTCCACATCCCAGCTGGATGGGCGCAAACCATGAGTCGCTGCATGTACATGCGACCCCTTCTTGGATCTGTCAACAGATGGAGCAATGGCAATCTTTGATGACAGTGCGTTGCAGGGGCTTCAAACCCACAGCGAGACGAAGTATAAACGCACATGGGTTTTTGCCCTTCGAAGGGCGATTCTCCATGGGTTACCGCGAGGATTGCCACAGTGACCGTTCGGTAGGATTCTAATGTTCGGATGACTCGGATTACTCATTATTATTTTGTAAGCCGTTAACAAGTCACCACGTAATCTGCGGTAGCTAGGAGAGTGGAACCATATGTTTTTCGGACTATCCTCGTAGGAGTTTCGCCTTACTCTCACAACACCCTTTGTTGCTCGCCTTCGGACTTTCACCAGGATTTTCACGTATCTTTTCAGGCGTGGTGGTGTAATGACACCGTCGGCCTCTAAGCAAGGTCGTGTGTAGGTCTTATACCGCCTCGGGTACAGTCCTGAGGGGGGTACAGCGTAGCTGTTTGCGCATAAAATACAGTACTCGGTGGGCTCTGTAGGCATCTCCTGGGTAGTTGGAGCCAGTGTCTAGCTTGCCAGTCAGCATTCGTCCCAGGTTTTTTTCCGCGATGGTGTGGAAAAGTTGCATTCCATAGAGAGAGTAGAATACTTTCTAGGAGTCGGGTGTGTGGGGAAACATGGTTCTGGACTTATCCAGAACAGATGCTAGTCCGTTATTGTCCACGCACTCTCCAAGCAATCTGAGATCACTTCACAGTGCACTTGATTCTGCTTTGGATGTCACAGCTCTCCAAAACTTAAAATCATCGGCGTAAAGTGGAATCAGGAAGCTGGGATTCACTGAGGAGTCGTTCACAAAAAGAAGGAGTGGCAGTGGGCCGAGAATCGCTTTTTGTGATACACAAGATGATGATGTCCTCCAAGTCAAGCAAGCCGCGTTGGCTTTTGTGCAGAGTTTTTTGCAGCCCACGTAGTCCCGTCGACACGAGACAACTTGGCCGTTGATACCCAAACTCGATATTTTGCCAGTGAGTATGGTATGTAGAACTGCGTTAAAGGCCCACGGAAAATCCAGGAAACCAACGTGAACGGAAACCTGGAGGTCCCAGCATGCCCTCCACATATCACAGGTTACCACAAGGTTTGGGGGAGAGAACTACCCTTTCTGAAACCATGATGAAGATTACTTGGAGCTCCCCTCTTGTTCACCTACTCTCTGATACGGTCGTTCACTGGGTTCTCTATCACTTCTGACACCATTAGGAGAAGTGTTATGGGTCGGCAAAAATTTAAATCAATGTCCATTCGAATTTGGAGACGGCAAGTCAGAAAACTCAAAATTTTTCATAAATAACTTCGTGTTTTCTATCACTTGAAATGTCGAAGCCTTGAAACCTTGTTTTCTGAATACATTCAGTCTCCACGGAATCACCGACGTACAGTTTCAGTTATCTTTTTAACTGTATGCAACATCAGATGGAATCCCGTTATTATTCCTCGTAGTTTGTGATACGATTACTTCCTACCCTGATTCAGAGTAATCAGTAGAAGGAACTGAAACGACGTGTGTTGGCATATGATTCCTGTGGTTTAAGAGTATAAGTGTCGCGTTGTGGTAAACATTCATCCTATATTACACCAGTCTTTTCAGCATGATGCGCTATGATCCTGCATTATTTGCTACATGGAGTTGTGGGTACAATTTACCGTTCAGAATCATATCCTATCATATGCCGAGCCAAACCAAGATTTGAACCATTGGATTCCAATTCAGTAGGTCGATGGCAGAGTCTTCGCGGCGGTACCTGAAAGTCCCGGGTTCAATCGTTTGTGAGGCCATTGGTGCGCGCTGCTGAACAGTCCCATACCGTGACGCAACAGCGGCTCAGTCATCACAGGTTTTCAATGTTTCCCTGACCGATGTCGATGCATGATGAATACTGATCTGAAATCAATAAAGAATTCCCCACTGACACCAAAATTGGATCCAAGATTTACCGACGGTGACGTCATTGTCCACTTATGCCGCCAACTTTTAATTACAACCAATTATTACAATTTATTTTCGTGAAAACAAACAGACGCCAGCTGACAAACCTGATTCTGTGCTGATATATTTTGGGATTCACTGCTTCTCACATCGGGCAGCTGGGTAGGTTATGGTACTACCAGTGGTGTCGTTCGTCGGTCATGGTATCGTCCACATGTGTATGTGTAAGCGCCTTTGAAAGGAATTCGGACGAAAATAAGGTAAGACCACCTAAGAGGCAGCTCCAGGCTTTTCGGGCTTTTGTGTGAGGTTGGCTCAAAGGCCAAGCACTGTAATTCAGACTCCTGTTATGATCTGCTGGGTTTATCCTTCTCGTTTGCCCTGACTATGTAGTCGGGATATACTATTATGCAAAAAGCCCTTCTAAAAGGCTAGGGCTTTATTGAAGGCAATCCGTGAATAAGAATGACTCCCCGTGTCAGAAAGCAAATATTTCATTGTTATAAGTCAGAATTGGAAGTGATCTTGGAATAGCGCCTTGTGAAACGCCAATAGAAATTCTTTCGGGAAGTGAATTATTCCACTCAAGCCTAACTTAGTGAGGCTGATTGCTCAGAAAGGACTAAAACCACTGTATCAATTGATTATGGACCGTGGGCTATGGACATCATAAGCACGAAGCAAAGTGTGGGGGAATTTACTGAAAGCCTTCGTAGTATCGAAGCATGGGACTGACACAATTACCCAACAATGGTGATCCGAAGCTTTCTGAACGAAAAAGTGCAGAAGACGGGATAATGTTGAATTGGAACTGAGGATACTGCACTTATGTTGACAAATGAGTTGGTCACTGAGTAGAAATTCTTAGAGCCAGTTTACTGACAGTCTTCTCAGGCATTCTTGATATGATCATAAGGATAACGGTGATGACCACGATGCCTGTCAGACAATTAATACCTATGTTCGCGGCCTCCAGGAACACAGTTTTCTAGGTCGGAGAAGCGGAAAATATGAGCAGGTGTGGTGAGTATTCTGAGAAGCGGCAAATGAACATCAGGGCCACCAATTTGGGATGGAATAGCTGGAACACCAACCCTTCCGGATCTTTGTGATAGTCTCAGTTTTCCTGTTGGCCTCCGAATAAGAAGACCGAAGAAAAGTGCGGTGCGTAGAAGTTAGGGGCTGCCACGAGGCATTCTTGATGAAAGTATGTCTGGGGTAACAGACATCCTAGGAGAACTCTCCTCGAATGAATTGCAAACCTAGTCAATTTCTACAACGATACGTTCATCAAGTGCGATACAGGGAATTTCAAGATAATTCGGTTTATTTTCTGAGTAGCACAGGGATTCTCTAAGCAGCATCGGACTGAAATCCATTCTTTCTCTAATGGTCAACTTCTGCTGGGAGCAGACCCTCTGACTAGTGTGGATGACCATTATTTTTCGGAGTAAAGAAAAGTCAAAGGAGTTTCTAAAACTGTGGTGATGGTATCAGTTTAGGCCTCATCTTCAAGCATAAATGCGGCGAATAATTCACACCTCGCCTAATCTCCCGAAGAGAAACATTTGTGTCGAGGTAATTAGTGATGCTTCTTACAAGAGTGTCGGTTGGCAGGTTAGGATAATAGAAGTGGGGCAGTGAGGTCACTGTAAAACGTTTCAAGCAGGAACCAGACTTTCGCAATGGAATATGCTCGGTCCCGACGCGTCGTAGGCTTTCTGAGATGTAGAATACCACAAGCCTGTGAAATTAGCCCGCTATCAGGTTTTCAAAGCACCTTTCCAATCTATAACAAAACTGAGCTTCAGTGAGTTCGACACTATCTAGATATCAGATATGTTACGACGTTTTTACATATCACGATGAACCCAACCTGTGGTTCACAGGATATGGAAGAATTCCTCGAATCAGTTATGACAGGAAGTGGGTCCTCAATTGATATCTGTCTTATTTAAGTCTTCACAGACGACTTTGGAGCCATACGAAAGGTTAAAAAGATTCCAAAGGCACAATATATTTGCTGATCAAACATTTGGGGTGAAGATGACGGTCGAGATATGCACCTAAAAAGGAACCTATGTGATCGGAAACGTTCTGTAATGCCCAGCAAACTTGGTTGTGATTTCTATCTGTTGTAAACTTGGTATTTACTATTGGCTGCAATTGGATGATGAATAACTCCCAATGTACCCGGAAAATTTCGCCCACTGGACTTGCCCACTAGAGTGCTTGGAATAA